GTGTGTGTGTGTGTGTGTGTGTGTGTGTGTGTGTGTGTGTGTGTGTGTATACCACATCGTTCATCAGCCAATGGATATTTGGGTTCTCTCTATAATTTGGCTATTGTTGATAATGCTGCTATAAACATTGGGGTGACCATACCCCTTTGAATCTGTATTTTTGTATCCATTGGGTGAATACTTAATAGTATAATTGCAGTATGGTAATGTAGTTCCATTTTTAGTTTCTTGAGGAACCTCTGTATTGTTCTCTAGAGTGACTGTACCAGTTTGTATTTCCACCAGCAGTTCAGGAGGGTCCCCTTTCTCTACATCCTTGCCAACACATTTTGTTGTTAGTTTTAACCATTCTGACAGGTATAAGGTGATAGCTCATCGTGGTTTTGATTTGTATTTTCCTGATGAGTGACATTAAGCATCTGTTCATGTGTCTGTTGGCCATCTGGATGTCTTCTTTGGAAAAGTGTCTATTCATGTCTTCTGCCCATTTGTTAACTGGGTTGTTTGTTTTTTTGGGTTTTGAGTTTGATAAGTTCTTTGTAGATTTTGGATATTAACCCTTTATCTGATAAGTCATTTGCAAATATCTTCTCCCATTCTGTCGGTTGCCTTTTAGGTTTGATTGTTTATTTCACTGTGCAAAATCCTTTTATCTTGATGTTGTCCCAATAGTTCATGTTTGCTTCTGTCTCCCTTGCCTTTGGAGATGTGTTTAGTAAAAATCTGCTGTGGCTGAGGTCAGAAAAGTTGCTGCCTGTGTTCTACTCTAGCATTTTGATGGTTTCCTGTCTCACATTTAGGTCTTTCATCCATTTCAAATTTATTTTTGTGTATGGTGTATGTGGATGTCCTCCAGTTTTTTTTTCTTTTCTTTTTCAAGATTGCTTAGACTATTCCAGGTCTTTGGTGGTTCCATACAAATATTAGGATTGTTCTAGCTCTGAAAAATACTGGTGTTATTTTGATAATCATTAAGTGTGGACTTCTTTGGGTAGTGTATAAACATTTTAACAATATTTGTTCTTCCAGTTCATGAACTTTTCCATTTCTTTGTATCCTATTCAATTTCTATCTTTTTAAAAATATTTTCATGTTTATTTTTGAGAGAGAGCACGAGTGGGAGAGGGGCAGAGAGAGAGAGAGAGAGAGAGAGAGAGAGAGAGAGAATCCAAAGCAGACTCCGGGCTCTGAGCCTGACATGGGGCTAGAACTCATGGATTGCAAGATGATGACCTGAGCTGAAGTCAGATGCTCAACTGTCTGAGCCACCCAGGCGTCCCTCCTCTTCAATTTTTTTTTTTTTTTACGCATTGTACAGTTTTCAGAATATAGATCTTTTACCTCTTTAGTTAGGTTTGTTACCAGCTGTTATGTCGTTTTTGGTACAGTTTCAAATGGAATTGATTCCTTGATTTCTTTTTCTGCTGCTTCATTATTGGTGCATAGAAATGCAACAGATTTCTGCACTTTGATTTTATATCCTGGTACTTTGGTGAATTCATGTATTCTAACAATTTTTTGGTGGAGCCTTTTGGGTTTTCTACATAGAAGATCGTGTCATCTGCAAATAGTGAAAGTTACATTTCTTGCCAATTAGTATGCTCTTTATTTCTGTTCCTTGATTGTGGAGCTCCTTGAGCCATTATCCTAAGAAGAACCCAACTTTTTTGGCTATTACCTTGTTCTTCAATTATTTCTCTCCTGTCTTTTGCCTCAACAGGTCTAAATGGAGAAAAAAATGGGGGATTGAAAAGTACCCAATTTTATTTCTCTCATGTTATGAAAAACATCCCAATCATTTCTTTGCTATTGTTTTCCCACCAAGTAATCTCACCCACTCACCCAAGTAGCTCATCAATTCATTACCACCCCTGGTATGACAATTACTTTCCAAAGAGGAATATTGGTGGCTTTTCTTGGGCCACACTGTGTACATAATAACATCTTGCACTTTCATAAAAATCTCCAAATCAACGTCATTCATAACTTCTGTTTAGATATGTTGAATACAAAACTACCTCTTACCAGCTATGCAACTTTGGGCACATTACATAAGTTTTAAGGATTCTCTTTCTTTACCTGTAAAATGGATATGATAATAATGATTATTGAATAAGGTCATTGTTAAAAAAATGAGTTAACATGTGAAATAAACTCAGAAATATGTATCAATTAATTTCATTACATTGTAACTAATACTATTTAGTTTTATTTTATTAGCAGTGACCTAAAAAATCTCTTAATTTAAAATATGCTTAATATTGTAATTATTTTATGAAAACCTCATTTTTAAACTATTCGCTTAAGGTCCAGGTTCAACATATATCCCCTAATTACAGCTTTGTGCTTGTGATGTCAATACGATTGTCCATCTCAGAAGGATGTTCGAAATTATATTGATCAAAACTACTCAATGCTATCTTAGAGTACAAAAATAATCAGAATCCAGGATAAGTCCCATTCCATCTAAATCAGATATGAAGATAGTCACTATATTATGAAGGTAAATTATGCTGGGAGCTGAGAAATGAAGTGAAATAAGAATTTAATTGTCTTTTATGAACTCCAAGGCTATCATAAGTTCTATATAGAGAGAAATATTTAAATGGCTTTAGATGCTGAATCCTAGCAATAATGGACTCTGGGAGTGTTGGGAAACAGGGAAAGTAAATATAAATCTTGTTCAGAGAAATATTTTCATAAATAAAAGTAACTTCATAGAAAGGATTTTTAAATTTTTTTTAAATGTTCATTTATTTTTGAGGGGGGGGGAGAGAGATAGAGTGTGAATGAGGGAGGGGCAGAGAGAGAGGGGGAGACAGAAAATCTAAAGCAAGCTCCAGGCTCTGAGCAGTCAGCACAGAGCCTGATGTGGGGCTCAAACCCACAAACTGCAAGATCATGACCTGAGCCTAAGTCGGACGCTTAACCGACTGAGCCACCCAGGCACTCTGAAAAGACTTTTAGTCTCAAAGTCATCACAAATGTATGTTTTGTCCTATGTTGATAGAGCCACAAAAACCTTTCCTTATTAGTGTCCCAGGAGATGACAGGATTTTGGCATCTTCTATTTTTTTTTTTTTTAACATTGAGCAAAAAGCCACCTCTAGATATTTTCTAACCATATCATACATTAAGAGCCAAGACAGCATTTTGTTTTTGGAGATACCAAATTGTTGAATATTATATATACCAGAATCTAACTTCCTCCCAAATCCATAATGTGTAAGCAGTACTGAAGGGGAAAAGGGTAGAAAACTTGTAAGAATGACCCCAAATAATTAGCCAAATCAGATTTGGATCTGGGATGCATCCACATCACTCAGGAAAACTTGTTAAAATACAGATGACAAGACTCCATCTGCTGAGATTCTATTTAAGCTGATATGTGATGGCAGATATTTGTATCTAACAAGCTCTTCTGATGACCCTAAAGCACACTAAAATGGTGGCTCCTCTGAATAAGACTAGTGGAAGGAACAAAAGGAATGTCTAGTGGACAGTCAGGCTTTAAACTCAAATCTCTGGTGTACATAGGAGAGGGGAGGGACTGTTCTTCCTTCTTTATTTAGTTTACTTGATTTTAATAGGTTTCTATAGTCTTATATTAGCATTAGTTAGAGACTAATAAGCTTAGTTCTGTCAAAGTGCTACTGAAACTATCATCTATTTATCTACCACCATGTATATACATAGATAGTATGTATACACACACACACACACACACCTATGCAGTAAAAATATATTCTCAACATTATTTTTCTGTCTTTCCTTAAAAATAATTTGGAAGTTAAAAAGGAAAATAACATCTACCCCAAAAAGTATTTACCTTTTTTCCAAAGACTTGTTTTTTATTTGTACTGATTCTTGCCATAGTATGTAATGCTAAAAATAAAGAGTAAAGAGAATTAAAAAAATTTTTAAAAAAGGAGTACTGTCTCCTAAAAAAACAAAAATAAAAATACAAAAAACAAATAACTAAAACGTAATAAAGCAAGGTTTTTAACACTGGTTAACAAGAAAGGAGTATGAATAAATATTTGACAGAAATAGAAAATATCATAAATTATTTCACTATATCTCTCACACTATATACTAAAATAGACTCCAGATATATTAAGCAGATATTTTGAAGTTACAGAAAAATTTAACAGAATATTTTATTTTACAAGTTGATAAATATTTGAAGGAAGTAGAAAAATTGGCAAGGAAAAATTGAGATGAGTGTAAAACTTAAAATATACAATGAAATATAATGCTAAAAATTGAAGTATGGTAACAGTTTAAAGTTGTGTATTCCTCTTCTCATAAAATGGCTAAGTAAGTAGCTCTAAAAAAATAAAAAGCTGAGTTTAAGAAAGTTAAGATTCTAATAGATGAGTGAACCAAGGATCTGAAAATAAATTTACACAAGAGAAAACATGAAAAAAAAAAGTTATGTTTATTTATGCAATTTAATTTTCATGTTATCCTACTGTGAAAAAGATTTGTAGAATAAAAAGTAGATAGGAATTTTTCATTCTCTTTAGTGATAAAATAAGTTAAACTTATTTCAATCATAGTAAATTCCACAAAAACTTTCCTTAAAATCTGACACCAAGTGCATATCTGCTTCACAATTAATTAAGGTTTTTTTCTTTTTTCCTTTCTTTTTTTTTTAAAGCCTCATTTGCAAGCAAACTCTACACCCAGTGTGGGGCTTGAACTCTCAATCTTGAAATCAAGAGTTGCATGTTCTAATGACTGGGTAAAGCCTTAGATAAAATTTTATAGTGCTAATGCTATTTATAACCGACACAATCTTTAGGAAAGCAACATGACAATAGATAGCATGAACCATAAAGATACATACCATTGAATGAGTAGTAATTTCAGTCATTAGCTGTTTTCAAAACAGCAAAATATTGGCAGATGGATTTTTATCATAGCATAATCTTTTCAAATAAAATTTTTTAAATGTTTATTGTTGAGACAGAGTGCAAGCTGGGGGGTGGGGAGAGCAGAGAGACAGGGAGACATAGAATCTGAAGCCGGCTACAGGCCCTCACTCTGTCGGCACAGAGCCGGACACTGGGCTCAAACCCAAGAACTGTGATATCACGATCTGAGCTGAAGTCGGGTTCTCAACCAACTGAGCCACCCAGATACTCCTATCCTAGCATAATCTTTAGCTTCAACAAAAAATATTATCTCTCTTTATTTTTGTTCAAAATAGTAGAAATGAGTAGGTAAATTTGAAAAAAGAACATAATCTGGAGCTTCTCATAAAATAGGCTATGGAGAAACAAAATTCTGAAACTATGAAATGTAACCGTATAAATTAGGATGCCTACCTATTGCATCTTCTGAAAAAGTATTCATTGAAAACAGATTCGATTATGCATTTGAGATTCATCCACAGTGTTTTGAGTATCTGTAGTTCATTCTTTCTTATGGTGAAAGAGCATTTAATTGTGTAGTTATACCAGACATGGTGTATTTGCCAGTACAGGTTTTTGTGTGGTAAAAGAAGTCTAAAGACTATATACCATATCATTCTGTTTGTGACTTTTGGGAAGGAGACAAAACTATAATGAGAGAAAACAGAGTCGTGGTTGACAGGGTTTGGAGGTAGGGAGAAGAATGGATTTCAAAGGGATGTGCATTAGTTTCCTGGGCCTGCTGTAGCAAAATACCACAACCTAGATTATTTAAAACATTAAACTGTAAGTATTAGAAATGTTTCTGCTGAAGTCTAAGATGGAAATCAGGGACATGTTATTAGACACTAGTGAAAAGACAATCCTTATTTTAAAGCAATTAGCAAACTGTCTGAATTGCATTCACTGGAAAGTAGAACTTAGAAATAATAAATTTGGATATTTATATACGAGGATACCTACACGAAGTGTTGAAGGCATGGCCTAGTTTTTCCTTTCTGCTTATAACTGAGTGAAAGCAAAATGAAATAAAGTGTGGAGGGCACTGTTAAAGGATCTGGAAATTGATGATTTGGTAAAACCTCAGATATTCACATTGTTGAAGGTGAGCAACTCTGCCCTGGACGGAAATTTGCTCCAGGATGGACCATTCCCAGTCTTACCCTTACCTGATTTAGATGACTTTAGAAGATGATATTGGGACTTTTTTAGATCAACTTTTTAGTTGATCATATTGAATCAGTGAGATTTAGAGATTTAGAGTTGACCTTGGAAGGAGGCAAGATTTAGGGGGAAGTTAGGATTGGGTTAATGCATTCTGCACGAGTTTGGGGGGACCAGAGGGCAGACTGTTGGTCGAACTGTGACCTCCAACAAGATATGTTCAAGTCCTAACCCCTGGTGTCCATGAACGTGACCTTATTTGGAAGTAGGGTCTCTGTAGATATAATCAATACTCAATAGGATCATTCTGGATTAGGGCAGGACTTAAATCCAAGGACTGGTGTCTTTTTGAGAGAGAGGGATATTTTAGGTCTACAGAGACACAGATGCACAGGGAGAACTCCATGGGGAGATAGAGGAAAAGATACAGTGATGTGTCATCAAGGAAATGAGTGCCAAAGATTGCTAGCAATCACCAGAAACTAGGAGACAAACATGCACTGATTTCTCCCTCAGAGTCTTCAAAAGGAACCAAACTTACTAATATGTTGGCTTTGGACTTCTAGTCTTCAGAACTGTGAGAAAATATATTTCTGTTGCTTTAGGCAGTGAAATTTATGGTAATTTGTTATGGCATCTTTAGGAAGTTTATATAGGGCATGAGAAACAAATTTAGGAATGATAGCCCTGTTGTAGATCTTGATTACAATATTTAGCACACAATTGTATGCATGTACAATTGGGCACACAAAAAAGAATTTTCCTAACCTAGATGTAGAAAGGAATTTTAATAAATTGGAGGATAAAATAATGATGTGAGTATAAAATAATTACTTGAGATTTTTGGCTAACTTGAGAAGAATGAGGGATTGTGCATTTCTTCCAGGAGAATTGGAAATTTTAAATTTGTAATATGGAACAGAGCCTTGATTCCAGGAAGTAGGAGCAAGGAGACTGAAGTAAAAAGCAGTATTAACATTCTTCTTGGTTCCTTTTACTAGTTGGTAGGTACAACAGAAACCGACATGGAAGAGATAAGTGGAAACTGTGCCATAAGGTCAGAGATGAGTGTCTTTCTACTTTTAGTGTGGGGAAATCAGGGAAACGTTTTGGAGGTGACTTCCAAGAAAATAATTTTCCAGTTGACATTCTAGGATGTGCTGTCAGAAGCAGTGGAAAGGAAAGCATGAGGAAAGGAAACTACATATGAGATTGAACACTGAACTTCAAGTAACTTAAGAAGTCTGAGTCTAGATTTGTTGGCAAGGTGGGTCCGTGGCTTGTTTTGTGGCCTACTAGCAATTATTAGGGTCAACTGTTATAGCCCTGTTGTGATGACAAAATGTAGATGCAAGGGTTAGACTTGCATCAGTCCCAAAGCACTATGAGAATTTTATGGTTTGTAAATTATTAATGTATAAAATTAAAGTGAACTACTTACATTTAATCTAAATTTATAGTTAAAAAATCTGAATGAATGCATATCAATCAAAGCTGGTAGTACAGTTTTAAAGCTTTCATTTTGTAGAAAATGGTGTTATGGAGCATTAGGAAAGTGGTGGAAAATATAGAAAAAGAGCCTTTGGGTGCATTGCTAAGGCTCTGGCTTGATAATATTTTGGCATTCTATTTGTGGCTATTAGTTGCAAATAATCTATTTGTTCACTAAAGCACAATGCCAGTGAAGTTACCTACCTGTAAAGGATCTTAAAAGTAATTCTAGCTTATTGATCCATGAAAAATATTTCAAACCATTTGCACCATCTATTGAGCTGGAATACAATGATAGCTAGAATCTTTGAGTCTAATGTGCACTTCATCTCTTGGTCCCATTGACCTGGTTCTGTCTAATTTAAGCAGATGCAGTTGAAGTTATATAAATAGTGAATGCATATGTGTAGACATTTCAATGATTGTGGAAAAGTTGCCATGCAGTTGAGATACACTATAAATAACTAATGTGCACTCAGCTAGTAAAAGTATTGGTTTGCAGCTCTTCTCTGGGTGTACTGTCCCACATACAACTCTTTGGTATGATGGGTAGATGACTGACTTTATAAGGATAACTAACCATACTATTTCTAGTCCATACCCTCCTGTGTTCAAGTATCTTCCCTTGATTGTATTTCAGGCAAGTTGCTATTCAAAGAAAAGTCCAGCTATGATCTCAGCTTTAACACGTCTAAACTACAAACATCAGTTTCTGATTTTGTGTATCTCCCTCCTCTACATATAAATCTGTTTTGACTCCTCCCCTTTTTTTCTTTCTTATACCATCATGGAAAATTCACTATATAATTTTTAGTTTTATCATCATCTTTTCACCATTTGCAGCTTTCTTTCCCCATGGCAACCAGGCTAATTCTATTTCTCACAACATTGCTATAAAATAACAAAAGTAACCTGTCTTGGTGCTCATGTCATCCTTAATCCTGCTCATTCATTTTCTTTAGTACATTTGAGATGGAAAATTTTACATTCATAGAAATAGAATTAACAGCTGTGCTAACTTGAAACTAAATAAAATATTGGAGTTTC